GGGAAATTATGTAAATTTATTTTCACATTATCTTTCTTTATGTCCCATAAAGCATTTGATACACTATCGAGAGATTGTTATATGTACATATTTCTAGAAAATATTAAATTTTAACATAAAATTCTTTGACAAATAGATTTTAACATAAAATTCGTCAAAAAAAACGTTTTTTGACGTTTCAACTTAGTAGAAAATAAATAAAATTATTTTGTCGTAAATATATTATTGCTTTGTCTGGTATAGGAAAGTTTTAAAAACTTTATACAACTCGAAAAAACTTTATAAAGTTTGAACAAAAAGTAGAGAAAACGACAATATTTTTATTTTCTAAAAGTTTAAAGTTTTTTCTTTTAAATTTAGCGTTTTAAAAAATTTTAAAATCTAAAACTGTCAAAGTATATGTTTTTCTTGATTATATCAGAAGGTTTTATTTTTCAAAAACAAGTTTTTCATCAACAATAATTTATTTTTAACTTCTTAATTAAAAATAAACAAAATGAATTCCCAAATGATTTTTTCTAAGTTTCACATTTTTCATCAAAATTTTCGTTTTTTTGGATAACTAAAAAATATTTGTTTATTTTTGATAAATATTTTGAAATTTAATGCTTATCACTTATTTTTAAAATTTTTTAAAAGTTTTTTCGACTTTTCTGTCTGGTTTACTTTTTTACCGACCGTATTGTGTATACAATAGGTAGCATGTGATGGCAACAAATTTTGCATATCTAGTTTTCGGTGGAAATGCACTTCTCCATAGTAGGGAAGTGTACATACACTATTTTTAGCAACCTGTCGGTTTGTCGGTCTGTGTATGCACGCGTGTATCTCAAGTTCGGCTGAACCGATTTTAATGAAATTTTATATGTAAGTTTATTTCGACCATGGCACGGATTGATCAACTTTTGGGATATATCAGGCCTCAGGAACTGAACTTTTTAGCGGGCCTGTTTTACATTTTTGACCACTTTGAAGAAAATATTCAACCGATTTACTTGACATTTCATATATAAGCTTTGCTCGATATTCCGCAAAAATTTCTAACTTTTGGAAGAAATCAGGCATCAGCAACTGGACGTTTACTACGTGCCAAATATACATTTTTGTGTATATAAAGAGAAATAATCAACCGATTTCATTGAAATTTAACATTTGAATTCCTCGTTTTAAAACAATGAACACATAAATTTTTTGAAAAGATCACGGCTCGAAAACTGATTTGCGGGCCGATTTTACATTTTTCACCATATATACGGAAGGACTTTATGGAATTTCTTGAAATTTGATGTTTGAGTTCTAGTTGTTACCGAAACTGGTGAGCACTTCAAGGAATTCGGGTAGCACAAACGGAAGCTCTATAGGTACTAAAAGAATAATTTACATTTTTCTAGTTATCTTAACTATAGCCTTACTAATGTCCGAAAACTTGGAAAATGATATTTAACAGACATTTTTATAATATTCTGTAACACTTTCACTTAACTAGACAATACACAATGGCCGACCACATCAGATTTTTTTTAAATGAGATGTTTTGGCGAGCAATTACGTCATTGTTTTTTCTTTTTAAAATTTTTTTCAAGTAAACCAGACCGACCTAATATGTACATACTATAAATAAATATTAATGGATAGCGGAAAAATGATAATATTTGAAGCTAACATAAAATATGTTGGTTTTTTGTTTTTATTTTTTACATAAAAAGTGTGGCCAGAAATGGTTTGAAAAAATGGTTTCGAAATATGATTACAGGTAGAAATTTATGTGAGTTATTTTTTCAATAAAAAATTTATAATTTTTCAACATACATACAATACATACATTTTTCTAATTTAGTCATACATAATTATTTCTTTATTATTTAAACCAATTAACACACTTTACAACACTAAATCTGCGATTATCTAAAATATCTTTATATTATAAAGATATTTATAATATCTTTATATTTAAAAAAAAATATCTTTTTGGAAACTTTAAAATTAAATGAAAGGGATAACAGAACAAGGTCATTGTATATGATGTGATATAAGTCGCCTCAAAAACTCTATAAGTTTTATATCCAAGCTAATGTAATAAAACAAAATCATTGAATTTTTAAATTTCTTTGATATCCGTTTCGTCATCAGCTGCAGTTACATCAGGGTTTGGAAATACCATTCATCACAAAATGCTTGAAACAATCTGCTTCAAACGAATTGTTGTTGTGATTATTTTCTATTTAGCAAATAGAACAAACAAGTGGTTACCATTAAGAAATTGTTTTTGCGCCTATTGTTATCTGTACAGGGTATTATAGTACCTTAATAAGTTTTCCGTTTTTATAAATCGTATAAAAATTCAATAATTTTAAAATATTTGTACACTAAGTCTGTTAACAGGACTACCCAAATTTTTATTGAAAAAATATTTCTACGCTTAACCTATTAATAGAAAAATTTTTAAAAGGAGAATTCAAATATGTGTAGAACAATAGGAAACTTCAAAGATGTTTAAATCAAAATATTTGAACCGCAAAAAATATGAAACAGTGTTTTATAAAAAATGTTTTATTATTTTTAAATTTATCTTCATAATTCAAAAAAATTAGAAAATATTTTTTGCTAAAAAATTGCTTTGCTGGTAAAGACAACTGTATGGTTAATCAGAAATTTAATTTTTTAGAAAATTTCTTCGTAATATTTCCAATAAAAAATTTAAATTGAAATTTTTTTTACTTTTACGTAAACGAAAATTGTAAAGAAGAAACTGTAGTAATTCTAATACTTGCCAAAACGTAAAATTTGACATTGTCGATTTGACGTAAATGTTCATTTCTTTTTATTAAAAATGTCGCTATTTCAAGCAAAATTGTTGAGAGAATTGAGTGTAAAAAATAGTAACACTTTGAATTAAAAACAAGTAAAGACGTTTCAGTTGGTATAAACGGACCGAACTAAATCTAAAAATTTATTTTGGAAATATCTTACAATTAGCCTTCATTGTTGTATACCAATTACTCCAACCTGACAAAACACTCTATAGAAACTTCACGGATATGTCTGACCTTTAATCAGACACACATCTGCCAAGTTTCATCAATCTAACTGTATTATTTTTTTTCAATCTATTACAATCTAACTGTATCCGAACCTGTCAAGCCATTCCACCAAAATTTTAGGGATATATGTGACATAAAATTGGAAACACAACAGCAAAGTTTCATGAATCTGCTTTTATTATTTTTCCAAATATTTAAAATTAGCTTTTGGAGTTATATGGCAGCTATCCGAACCAATGGAGCCATTCCATTAAAATTTTCAGAACATATGTATTTAAAGTACAATTGAACATATCTTTGCAAATTTTGATATTAATAATACCTTTATTAGTTTTGAAATATTTCAAAAAACTTCTATGAGTTGTGCGGCAGCTACCCGAACCCATTGTCTGTATTGGTTCAATTACAATAGCAGCTGTCCTTGGCAGAATAGAAATAACTTGCGAAATTATTTGTTTTTGACTTATTGTGCGATCGGACAAACGGACGGATATGGCTAAATCAACGCAGAATTTTACGCTGACCAAGAATATAAGTATGTATGTATATACATGTCCATATCGGAGACGACTCCTCAAACTGGTTACTAACCCCATACCAGCGTGAATACAGGGTTAAAAATTGACAAAGGTGGCAGATCATAAAACTTGTTTATTTACAAAATTTGTCATTTGTACAAGCTTGAATATCCAAACTCTTTTATTACAAATTTTTATTTTTTCGATTTTGACCCCTTATATTTATCTTTTATAATCATTTTTGGTGTGAAAGTGTCAAATTATAAAATAAACCGAAATATGCGAAAAAAATTTATATAAACCAAAAACTGCATATAAACTAAAAACAGTTTTTTTGCGCTTTCAAAAGTTATAAATTTTTCTGGTTACAACGTTTTTTGTGCCGCACATTCATATTGAATTTTGTACGAAGCTATTGCTACACCAACACTTGTATTATTGTAAAAAATTAGGCTTTTATTAAAACAAATGCAAGTAATAAACAAACTAAAATAATTCCCAAAATCCCCCTGGATTCCCAAAACTCTAAATTGTCGGTGCATTAAAAACTAATTCTAAAGCGGCGATAAGTGTTTTTTTTTTCGATTATTTTTTGTGCATACATAATACGAGTACATATGTATGTTTTATTCATATCGTTGAAAAAATGGTTTACAAATTTTAGTGAAATTTATAAGTTTCAACAAATTATGACAGTTTATAAGATTTTAAATGATATGACATTCACATTTATTCCATACAAATGTTTTTTCACAATTTTAAAACTAGGTTTAGGAATGTACGAATTGGTATAGGTAGAACCTTACTGTCTTCTCAAAGAATTTCTGTCAAAGGATCAAGTTTGTACAACAGCTTACGGCAAAGTTTAAAAAATGCTTTTGCAGCTTTTAAATTGAAAAAATTTAATGTCAAGAGAATAATATAAGATTCAAGTATCATATTAATATTATTGAAAGCTATATCAATTTGTTGTACATTTAAAACATTATTTTTACAATATTAATATGTAGGGTAGATAAAGATGTTTCTATGTATTTATTAGTTTCATCCTCACCTTTATTATAATTTTTTTCCTTCTTCTTTATATTAAATACATATATGAAAATGACTTGTATTCTAATTTTTTTATTTTATAAGTTATTTTATTTGAAGCTATAATATTGGACACAATTTTTATAGTGACCTGTTCGGGGTTTGAACCCGAAACCCTTCGGTTATAGAGCCGGTTCCATAAACACTGTTAAATTATATTAAGTCACTAATCAGAATTTGTTTTTGTAAGTTTCTGTAATGCCAAACATGCCATGAAGCAACGTAATTGTAATTGTTTCTTTAGGTGTTACGAAAAAGAAGAGAGAAAAAATACTTTGTACAAGTTTATTTATTATATTAATTATTACAAACTATTAATATTTTATTATAATTTTATTATCTATTCTAGCTAATGTCCAGGATTGTTAAAACATGTATTTTTGTGCTTATTTTTGTATTTTTGATGGAAAATACGGACGCCGCACAATGTAAGTACAATTAATTAAAATTTTTTTTTTCTACTAGGTGAAAAAATTTCGCAAGACGAAGAAGGACGGCTCTATCTGCCTTTTTCCTCCGACATTGGGGGAGCGTGACTTCTACCCTAAAGAATCACCTAAACTCTGAACGGATAAAAGTGGTCTTACAGACCAACTATCACCCCCGCGCTAACTTGGTTTTTTTTTGTGCAGGAATTAAATATCTTCCATAAGGAAATTTGGTATTTCGTTTTAAATCGAATGGTCTTGTTCGATTAATTAATTAAAGTGATTAAAAACATTTTATTTTTAACGTTAATTGTAAAAGTAGATGCAAATACTAAATTAATATAATTATGTACTCAATCTCGTTTTCGATATCCTGATAAAATTTTAATAACCAATAAAAATTTACAATGTGTTCGAACTTCTAGTATTTTTATTTTCAGTATTTTTATCGAACTAAATAAAATTTTAAAACAAAAAAAAAGTTTGTTTAAGAATTTATAATTTTCAGAAAATTTCTATTTTAAATACTAAAAAAATCAATTTGAATAAAAATAAAGTTGGGTCAAACCAATGGTTTGTATTGTAGCACTTTTCCCTTCAACAAGTGAAAATATTGCTTTAAAAACAGTCTATGTACAATCTACCATACTATTAGAATTATTTTCATTCATATTCAAAGCTATTTCTAGGATTGCATATATTTAGGATGACGCGTATATGCATAGTCTTTGAAATAAAGCAAAAATTAATATAGAAAGGGGTTAACACAATGCTCGATTTTAAGGGTTAATTGTGTGAGTTAAGAAAAATAATTATATTTTTTAATTTCATGGAATTTACCGTTAGCTTTTTGCGTTTACAAAAATTTGGAAAAGCTTGCGGTTTCGGAAATATAAGGTGTCAAAAATTCAAATTTTACGAATTTCAAGAGGTGATAACTTGAGAGGGGAAGGAGATGGAAAAAAATTTTCTTCTAACAAAATGAACTATTTGTTAATGTCTAAAAGCCCATAAAATTTCAAGCTTCTACAGGTTGGGGTCTAGAAAATAAACGACATCAAAAATTTGGAAAAAAAGGACTTTAGATAACGGTAAATTTGAGCGGCCATTTTGTTTTTCTAAAGTTTAACTATAGCATACCGCGCAAGGGGAAGTAAGCCACTGCCTTTCTGCGTTTGCAAAATTTCAAAAATGCTTATGGTTTCATTGCAACAAATATTTAAAAAAGGCCATTTCTAGGGTTTTGGGGGGGTATAACTTCTAGAGGGGGGGAGATAGGTAAAAATTTTGCTCTACGGAAATAAGTTTCTAGTGAAGATCTATGTACGTATTAAATTTCAGCTTTCTATCTTCAAAGGTGTAGAAGTTTTGTAAACAAAAAAAGTGTCCACGGACGGACGGACGGACGGACGGACAGAGTGAAACTAATAAGAACTTTTTTCAAAAAATTTTTTGGAAAAGTGCTAAAAATTGAAATGGGTACAGGCTAGTTTGAAGTGAAAAATTTTTGAAAATTGTAGATTATTGCAACAGAATAATAAATGTTAATTTTACTTTTTGCCAAAATCAAGTACTTTACCACGTAAGTTTTAAGTTAACTTTATCTTGACTAAAAAATGTATTAGGCTATTATAAATGGAATAAATAAGAAAACAAATGAATTGATTTTGATAAAGATTTAAAGACTTAAAGAAAATTTACATTAATAATCCTTCAATATCTGAATCTGCCATTTTGAAATTTAAATTTTTTTTTGATTTTTAAATTTAAAAAAAAAATTCATGAAGCAGCGACATAATTTATACTAGAGGTCTGTGCTACATTTCTTTATTGCAAATTGAGTTTCCGAACGCGCTTTACATACCGAACGATCTATATTTTCAGGGTATGTAGCGTGAATTTTCGAACGTACTACAAGCTAGAACTATTCTAGAACTGAATAAACGCAAACCCCCTATATATGCACAATATCATCAAAAATAATAATATCAGTTAAATTTTGGAAAAAGAATAGCATATATGTGGTGTTCGTAGGCACTTGTGGCTGAATTGTTCTTACTCGATCTTTAATGTAATAGTGTCTTAACACTATTGTGTTAACACAATTAGCACCTTTATTACAAATACCAACATCTGAAAACTAATCAAAAAATTTCAACACGCCTGGAATGAAACTTTATTAACACATAATTCACAAAATGTGCATTCACGAAATAATTTTTAATTTGGATGGAAGCAAATTTTGATATCATAACGCCACTGTCCAGGACGAAAACTTCTTATTGTTTTTTTTTTAATCTTTTTGAAAATTTTCTTGTGGGGTTTTTTTTTATTGAATTTTGAGCTGTTCGCTTCATATAAGCATGAGTTAATATTAAGTTAAGCAAAATTAAAATCAAGAACGTTTAATAAATCCAAACTGCAAAATCTAAAAAAAATTGCATGTTATATAAATTTCTGCTACAAAATATGTTCTAAAAGAATACTTTATCATAAAATTTACCAAAGAAAATTTCTGTTGTATCTCCTGCAAAAATATTATAAATTTTACGAGGAGTATATGAGAATTTCACAATATTAGATATTAAAGAATTACTTAATATGTTTTTCTTTTAAATTTTTCTGCTGTTTTATATTTGATAATTTTAAGACATTACAAATCTGCAAAAGTAAAATATTCAGTTTTTTTCGGACTGTTAATATTCATTTAGTATTTTCAGTGCATCTCTGAGTTTTCAAATTTATTTGCGTGAATGTTATAATTTTTTGATATTTATACGTTTTCCGATTATATTCTGCTGGACTATATTTTTCATTTTTTAGTATAAGATACTTCAGTAAAAATTTTATTCCAAAATTTTTTTGACGTCATCAAATGCGTCTTTCACATCTTAATGATTAAAATTTCTACATCTAAGAGGTCTAAAAGATTTTACTTTAAAAACAAAACTACAAATAAAATTCATAATTTAAGATTACCTTTTGTGCAGTTCAAATCGTTTTTTTTTATTTCTTGTAATATCTTGAGAATTATCTGGAGAATTGTCCAATATTTCCAAAGCTGCATGATTATTTTTCAAAACGAAACTATTGTATTAGTTTTTTCTAATGCCACATACATATGTATATCTATCAGGCCTCCAAGCTGAAAATATTTTCCGAAATTTTAAATCGGAAAAAAATTATTATTATTATAATTATTATTTTTTCCCTTTTTTCTTTGATTTCTTTTCTTATTCAAAAATTTTATTCTGTAATTTAGTACCCTTCCATTTGGAAGAGACACAAACAAGGGTCTGCGCTAAAAATTGCAATTTATTTAGATTCATTTTTTAGATGGAATTTACCAACCGCATTTTTTGAAATTTAAATTTCAAATTTAAAAAAATATGTAGAATAAGTAGAGCTAAGAGCAAATAAATTTCGACACACCTTCCATTTAAACCTCTTATAAAATTGAAATTTATTTTTGTTTTGCTCTCTGAGCTTGATGGGTTGGACTAGATACATATGCGGCGTTATTTTCAAAGTATGTCGATTTAAATATTTTTTTATGTTTTGTGAAATTTTTGAGTATTCTTTATGAATCTCATTTTATGTAGTATAGTTTTAAAAGAAATCTAGATTATAATTATTATATTTTTGGTTTTTTCTTCAATTTATTTTTAAATTCTATTTCTTATTCAAAAATTTTACTCTGTAATTCAGTTCCCTTCCATTTGGAAGGAAGGGAAAAGTGCTACATTACAAACCATTATGGTTCGACCCAACTTTACTTGTGCTAATTTTAGTTTTCTTTTGGTTACGTTTTTTTTTTTTAATTTTAGAAAAATAAACTTGATATAAGCAAAAATGGTTTTTTGTTTAATAATTACTTCTCTAATTCTAAATTTGGCACAAAAATTTAATTTTAGAGCACAATCAAATATTTGAAAATTTTAGAAAAATTAATATAAAAAAATTTATTAACATAGTTATAGATATACTAACAAAGTTTGTTTGCAAAATTTCAGCAAAGCGCCGAAGATTGCGGCGTCCGAGTCAGTCTTCCTTACCTCGGTCAAATATTGCAGAATCAAAAAAAAGTCCTGTTAGACGCGTTTCTGCTACAGTGCTGGCTGAAGATAGAATAGATCAGCAAACTTCTTCCTCTTCTGTAGCATCAACATTGGATGTATCATCTTCACAGAGATTTCGCGTTCGATCAAAAAAAAGAAAAGAAAATACAGCAAAGACTGGTGTTAGCACTATTAATAATAATGACGCAGCTTCTACATCAATATCAAAGTCTAAAAAAATTAAAAGTGAGGAACATGATTCAAGTCAAAAAATTGTCTGTTACTATACGAATTGGTCCCAATATCGTCCAAAAATAGGAAAATTTTTGCCAGAAGATATTCCAAGTGATCTATGTACTCATATTATTTTCGCATTCGGATGGCTAAAGAAAAATAAATTAAGCTCATTCGAAAGTAATGATGAAAATAAAGATGGTGTTCCTGGCTTATATGAAAGAATTATGTTATTGAAAAAATCTAACTCAAAGTTAAAGGTAAGGTATACATTATTTAAATAGTGAATAACCCTCAAAAAGTGCAAAATAAACATAACGTTTCTCGGTCCTGCAAATTAAAAACATATGAAAAGAAAAAAAAATTTTTAGAAAAGCGCTCAAATTTTCCACGGCAGATTTTTTAAAATTGGTTTTTTGTATTTCTAATGAATAACCAAAGGTCACTAACTTTTGGGTTTGTAATGAAATATATATAATTAATGAATAAAAGTTCTATTTTGGAAAAGTTCTATTTTAGGTTCTAACAAAGATCTTTGAGAGGGTTATAAAAAATGAATGATTTTGCGTAATATTATTGAAAAGTTGCTTATGTTCTCTCTTTGATTTTAGGAAATTATTTTAAGAAATTGTACAGATGTATAAAAATTAATTGTACAGATGTATATGTATAATAATAAGCTTATTGAGTACTTCAAAACTTTCTAATACTTCAATTAAATTCATACTTTATATTATAAATAATTATGATATACGTACATATAATTATAGTGTCAGTTTCTTAAATCATAACAGGTAGTTTTCCGCGATAATTATTCGACATACATGTGTAGATATTTGAAATTTCACGGTTTGGTCTCATGTTACATAAATTGCTGCAGACTATATTGCTTAGGAAAAACAATTAAGAATGTATTTTCGTTTTATTTATTTTTGTATGTATGTATGTATTTCAATTTAGGAAACATTAGCACTTCATTTGATTAAAAATAAATTATTCAAAATTGACCAAAAAAATGGAATTTCTTGCTCAGAAAATTAAAATTTTAAAGCTGAATGAGTTAATTTGGCAATATTATTAATACATACATACATATTTATATTTTGTGAGAGGTTCAATTATGATATTGGTTTTAAAATTAGCAAAAATGCCCAATACGTAACATCCTCAATAAAATTTGGTAAAAATAATTGGTCTGTCTGGTATAAAACTTGAAAAAACTTTAAAAAAAGAAACAATAACGCAATTTCTCGCAAAAAGAAAAAAATTCTCATTTAAAAAAAGGAAACCAGACGGAAAAGTTGAAAAAACTTTTGAAAACTTTATAAATAGGTTATAAACGTCAAATTTCAAAATATTTATCAAACATAAACAAATATTTTTTGGTTATACAAAAACTCGAAAATTTTGATTTTGGAATATAAAAGTGAGGAACTTAGAAAAAAATATTGGGGAATTCATTTTGTTTATTTTATTTGTTTTTAATTATGTTTTGAAAAAAAAACTTTGTTGATGAAATTTTTTTTTTGAAACATAAAATCTAAAGACATAATAACCAAGAAAAACATAAGATTTGAAAGCTGTAAGATTTGAAAAATTTTTAAAACATTAAATTTTTCTTTACAAAATTTGAAAAAACTTTAAAAATTGGGAAAATAAAAACGTCATCATTTTCTCTCATTTTTGTCCAAAAAGTATTATTTCAGACGTGCAGAAAATTTATAAAGTTTTTTCAAATTTTATAAAGTTTTTAAAAACTTTCTTATACCAGACAGACTTAATAATTAATAAATTTTCAAATTTTGAATTATTGAAGTGTTCTGTCGCATCTTTTTACATAGCTTAGTAGTTTTGTATTTAACTTTGTTTAAATTCAGGAGGAATATTGTGTAAAAATATACATATAAGAATGTAGCTACTCTTGCTATTGGTTAATTTTTTTGATTTTTAAAAGCTTTTTAACATCATGGAAATTTACTTATTAAGTTTAAAAAATGTGCTCAGTAAAAATAATTTTAAAAATAACATGTAAAATTTATATTAAAAAAATAAGAATCTATTCAGATAAATTATTTCAGATTTTGTTCTGTTATATTTTAGATTATGTTCTGTTATTGTTCTCGTCTTTATAGAAGAAAATTAGCTTAAATAAAAATTTGTATGTTTTTCACGAATATTAGAACAAATAAAGTGTCTTTTTTGGAATTAATGAAATGTTTTCATTTTGAAAAAAACACGTTGAAGTTTTTTACACATTTTTCACATAACTTTAATAACATATACCTATTAAGTGTAGTGTTAGCGTAATTTTTTAATTGTTAATTTAAAAATTTGTGAAACTTAAATATTAGAAATATGTATGTATGTAGTTAAGGGTACAATATCGTAATATTGATAAAAAAGCAGTAAATTGAAACATTGGCATAACTTTTGAAATCTTAAACATGGCTAAGAAAGAAAAAAGTTCAAAAACTAAGTCTGCTATAACTGAACAAATATGAAAATGTTCATTGTATTTATAAAAATATTTAAATGTGAAAATTAATGATTTTTTATAAATAAAAAGTACTTTTAATTATGAAAATTTTAATTATGAATAAAACGTAATTTGTATTTTATAATGATAATATGGGAATTTTATATTAAACTTTAAATAATGAATAATCTTTTCCTTTTCCATATATAGGAAAAGGAAAAGATTATTCATTAATTATTGCTTAAAACTTCAATATATTTTGGCACTTGTTCCTGTGTATGTATCTTATTTAAAAATTGTTATTCTTAAGTTTTATATTAAACTTAAAGGTATAAAAATTGAAGAAATTAAAAATAGAAAAATTTGTTTAAGTTTTTTAAATTTAAAGTTCTTTAGAAATTACGCTAGACAATTGAAATTAGGCCGGGTGTTATAAGTTAAATCAATTTTTGTTAGACCACATGTTAAACATGTTTTAATTTGAAATTTCAGATATTGCTCGCTCTGGGGGGATGGTCTTTTGGGACACAAAAGTTTAAAGAAATGTCTTCAACTCGTTACGCTCGTCAAACATTTATATACTCAGCAATACCATTTTTGCGTAAACGAAACTTTGATGGTTTGGATTTAGATTGGGAATATCCAAAAGGAACAGATGACAAAAAGAACTTCGTATTGTTACTAAAAGAACTACGAGAAGCGTTTGAAGCAGAAGCACAAGAACATAAAAAGATTCGTCTTCTTCTAACAGCGGCTGTGCCAGTTGGACCTGATAATATTCGGGGTGGGTATGACGTACCAGCTGTTGCAAGTTATTTGGATTTTATTAATTTGATGGCATACGATTTTCATGGAAAATGGGAACGAGAAACAGGACACAATGCGCCATTATATGCTCCATCAAGTGACTCCGAATGGCGAAAACAATTATCTGTTGACAATGCTGCTAATTTATGGGTTAAACTGGGTGCACCAAAAGAAAAACTAATAATTGGTAAGATTTTATTATCATACAAATCAATTTTATATTAAGATGTATTTAGTAAAGAGCTTCAATTTTAGGAATGCCCACTTATGGTAGAACATTTACTCTTGCAAATACGGATAAATATGGACCCAACTCACCAGCAACAGGTGGTGGTAAAGAAGGCATATATACCAAAGAATCAGGTTTCTTAGCATACTATGAAATTTGCGAAATTTTGCATAATGGAGCCGTTTATGTTTGGGATGATGAAATGAAAGTTCCTTATATGATAAACGACGATCAGGTAACTATATTTTGAAAGCAATTCAATTTCACCTTTTAATATTTTATTTTTTTTAAGTGGGTAGGCTTTGACGACGAAAGATCTATCAGAAACAAGATGCAGTGGATCAAAAAAAATAATTTTGGAGGTGCTATGGTTTGGACGGTCGACATGGATGATTTTAGCGGATCTATATGTGGTAATGACGTTAAATTTCCTCTCATTACTGCAATGAGAGAAGAGCTTTTAGGAATATCAAGAGGAAAAAATGCTATGGATGTTGATTGGTCAAAGGTTGCTTCCTCATTTGATGAAGAGAACAGTGAGGAACCGGTATATTGGCTTCATAAAATACTTCTGTTTTAAATTTGAAGATTTTTTATTTTAGGTTATAGATAAAACTCCTATAAAAATAGACGTATCAGAACTTTTAAGCAGGCACAAAAAGCCGCAGAAAAAGATCTCTGCACATACTGCATCTTCAAAAAAAAATGGTATTATCTTAGATAAAAATGTAGCTATTTTGCTCAAACATTTTGGTTTTTTAGTTCGTCCACCTCAAATATTTTGTTACATGACAAGTTGGTCTTCTAAAAGGCCAGGAGTTGGAAAATTTGAACCCGAAAATATCGATGCGAATCTTTGCACACATGTCGTTTACGCTTTTGCTACACTTAAGGACTATAAGTTAAGTGAAAGTTCAGATGATGATGCAGATAATTATGAAAAATTGGTAGCTCTACGAGAAAAAAATCCTGACTTGCAAATTCTGTTGGCTATTGGTGGTTGGGCTTTTGGTTCAACACCATTTAAAGAACTTACATCAAACGTTTTTCGAATGAACCAATTTGTGTACGAAGCTATTGAATTTCTTCGCGATTATAAATTTAATGGGTTAGATGTTGATTGGGAATACCCGCGAGGAAATGACGATCGTGTTGCTTATGTAAATTTATTGAGAGAATTACGTATTGCATTTGAAGGAGAAGCTAAATCAGCAAACTTACCTAGGCTTCTACTAACAGCTGCCGTCCCAGCTTCTTTTGAAGCTATTGCAGCCGGGTATGACGTTCCAGAAATTTCGAAATATTTAGATTTCATCAACATAATGACATACGATTTTCATGGACAATGGGAAAGAACTGTTGGGCATAATTCACCCTTATTTGCATTGGAATCAGCATCTGGCTATCAAAAGAAATTAACTGTTGACTTTAGTGCTAGAGAATGGGTTAAACAAGGCGCACCAAAAGAAAAACTTTTGATTGGTATGCCCACGTACGGAAGGTCTTTTGAGTTAGTAAATAAAACTCAATTCGATATAGGGTCACCAGCATCCGGTGGTGGCCGAGCCGGTAAATTTACTAACGAAGCAGGCTTTTTGAGCTACTATGAAATTTGCACGTTTTTGGCCGGTGAAAATACGACATTGGTATGGGACTCGGAACAACAAGTACCATTTGCTTACAGAAATAATCAGTGGGTTGGTTTCGATGACGAAAGGTCGTTAAAAACAAAAGTATGTCAGTTAAAGTCTTCAGTTATCAGTACGTAACACCTTCATTACTTGTTTTAATTTCTTTTAGATCGAATGGTTGAAAGACAATGGATTTGGAGGGATCATGGTATGGTCTGTCGATATGGATGATTTTTCAGGTCGTTGTGGAATTGGAAAATATCCCTTGTTAAACGCATTAAATGATGAATTAAAAAATTATGTAGTTCATTTAACATACGATGGACCATATGAATCTAATGGACCACAAGGGCGATATACAACAAAAGATCGTAAGTTATTCAGATATTTTTAAGATAAGTTAGATAATTACGTAAATTAAATAATTTATGTAAGTGAGTAAAATTTTCGTGTTCAAAAAAATCATAAGGAATATGCATAAAACATTTGAATAACTTTTTTGCATATACAATATCGTTGCGGTAATTCTAAAAAAATAAGCTATATTTGGGCCTTTTCGAAATATTAATTTCCTGGAATTTCCGAGTCTATACACAAAATTGATGTATGAAAACTTCTTAACTGTTAACACTGAAAACCGGTTCGTTTCCAATTTTTTAAAAAAATACATAAACTTTAAAGTGTCATCCTGAATTTTATATTTTATTTTTATCGATTTAGTGACATTCAACAATCTTGATTTCGAATTATCATATATCGATTTTTTAATTACAGTCTTTTCTTTTTGAAATAAATAGAAAAATTAAAAAAAAAAACATCTGGTTGAGTATGATTTTGAAAATATGATTTTAAATAAAGAAATTTTGAGAATGTTATCGTAATTTTCATAATTATGTAATTTTGAATAATTATTTAACATTTTTTCGTTACAGCGAATGAAGTATCATGCGCTGAAGAAGATGGTCATATTAGTTATCATCCAGATAAGTTGGATTGTACTCATTATTATATGTGCGAAGGAGAAAGAAAACATCATATGCCATGTCCCGCAAATTTAGTTTTCAATCCGAACGAAAATGTATGTGATTGGCCTGAAAATGTTGAAAGTTGTCAACATCACACACCAAAACCACCAACAAAATAAATTGATAAAATATTCTGATTTTAATACGTCTACAAACTAGTTAAATATTTTTTTTAATTTTAATTTTAAAATCAAAATCTTTGGAAATTATGTAGAAAAACAAGGGTTTTATTTTAAAAAAAATGAAACAAGATATATATACATACATACATATGTACTTCAATTTATTACTCATGAATCACGTAGCAAACGGTTTTTCAATACTGCCAATAACTTGATTAGATAAAATATTTATGTATATAATAAAGCTTATTTTTAATTATTAATTTAAAATTTTTAAAACGGCGAAATGTCGAACAATAAATTTGGAAAAAAAATAATATTACATTTTTATAGATATCTGTGTTTATGTAAATATTTACTACAAAGTGAAATTATAAAAACTTTAAATGCAGAAATGGGGATTCGGTAAAATTATGAAAAGATGCCGAATAACATGTGATTTTTGATATAAGAAATAAAATATAGAATACAAATTATATATACTTATAAAGTATATTTGTTTATAGTTTTATAACGTTTAATATGGGAATTAGTTTACATTTATATACAAATGCCGTTAAATTTATTATCAAATTTTCTACAGTTTACTTTTTCATGCAAGATTTTCAGGGTTATCAAAAATACGAGTATTAGAACAAAAAAATAAAAGTTATAATGCTTAATATAACTACATGAAATGTTTTAAAATTGATATCTTACAGCGACATAAATACATTATGCATATATACTTACCAAAGTGAAAATTATTTATGTACACAATCTCTGAAATTGGGAACATCTTTTTAATTTTGAGGGCTGATTCTGTTTCCTAAAAAGCATGAGAGGCCTATTGGATTCTATTTGTAGGTTTTTTCAAATGCTCCTCGAATCCAAAATTTCTTGTAGAAGAAACCTGCAACTCAAGATTCTTAAACAGCTTTATTTCCCTGTTTCTGTTGGGATTTCCACCCTTTTGCTAATAATTGATGTACTTCTTTTGTTAAAAGATATTTTTAAATTTTTCTTCCAGAGTATGGTACTGCTAATTATTGAAGTTTTAAACTTTTTCTCAAAGTTTTTTACGTAAGTAAGTCTTTTTTACAGGAGTCTTTGAAGATAAATAGCTCGAGAAGGAGGAAATTTGAATTTAAGAACAAATAAAGTGTTTTCTAATAAAGTAAAATTTTAACCGACATCTATAAACTGTATAAATTTCTGCCTTGTAGCAACAAAAATCGCTCCGAAAATGATTGATAGTTTAAGATAACGGTTATTTTGTAGAATTCCATCGAAGTCGATGACATGCGTTATTAATTTTTCATGATAGAAGTAATTCCTGGATTCTGTGTAATCGCTCAAACATAGTTACTTTTTCTTTTAAATTTTTGGATGTCTGCCTTTTGGATATCTTTGGATGCGTTTATATTTGTTTATCATTATAATTTAGTTTATATTTGTTTATCATATATTATAATGATCTATTAAAATAAAACGCAAAAAGCTATTTTCTTTTTGTAAATCTATAAATATATTTAATTGAAATCAAAGTGCTTGAATTTTTCGATTTAAAACTTAAAGAGTATAAATAATTTTAAATAGACGTTTTTGTAGTTATTTTTTAAAATATTTATCAGACGATTTGCTTTTCTTAACTAATGGAATTTACACATATTAAATTTGGATAAAATATAAAAAAAAAATAAGTATTAGACATTATATTATCCTCAGTATTAAAAAATCCAGAATACTTAAATATATGTTTAGGCAAAAGTAAAAAAATCTTACAAAAAAAATGTTGTTGTAGTTTTTTTTTTTTTAAGTGAGAGCGTGTTTTAAAAGTTAGTAACGTTAGTGTAATGAATTTTAAGGTACGCTACATCATTCTCATGATATTTATACATACTTATTTAACATAGGCAAAATGAGTGCGAGACATCTCGTATGGTTTGTTTATTATGTTGTTAAATTTGTTATTAATAATTATTTTTACAAAAGACGTGCTTATTCTGATATTGTTCTTGTTTCTTGAACGAGATATACTGAAGAACCTGGCCCTGAAGATGATGTAACAAATGTACGGTGTTTAGCACGAATCATATTTAAACTAGATTCAGCATTTTCTGCTCTTTCTTCTGCTGCTTCAAGTTCCCTTTGGAAACGACGTACCCGTGTCACTGATTGTTGTGAAACACCCTCCTTTTATTTATGTATTTGAGAAAGAAATAGGTATGTATTTTTATTAAAATGGGAAATAAATTAAATGAGAAACAACACAATTATAAAGTTTTTATTCACCTGTTCTACCATTTGCCTCTTGAAGAGACCTATTTTGGAATTTGCTTTTTCTAATGATTCTTGAAGTAAAGCAATATTCTTTTGATCTTCTTCGCATTGAATCATAACCTCTTTAACGGTTCTTTCTTTTTTCCTAAGAATTTTGATTGTTTCAGCATGTCTACGTTTTTCTTCTTCAAGCTCAAGCTCCAAATCTCTAATGCGAGCTTCAAGTTTAGAAATGATGCGTTTGCTACCAGCAACGGCATTAGCTTCCACTTCTTCTAAACGAATTGACAGATTCTGTTTTGATAGAAAAATAAGGAAAATCGTAAGAAAAGTGAAAGAAAATAAGCATGTTTTATTCTCTTAAAAAAGTTTTGAAAATTGTATGTTTGGTATCGGTGCTATACCAATTTTAGCTTGATTTAATTTTTTCATGACAATTTTTCTAGCGCTCAACACAAACATATTTTATGAACTGATTGATATTTATTAAGAGGATATTTATATGTAATTTAATTGAAACACGTTTTTTTTAATACCGGTGCTATTTTAACACTATTAGAACTTTGTAATAAAAAGGAATAACTTCAAAATGGCGAAATTTATGGCCGTCGCTCGATTAGCCAAAATAAAAAAATCGAAGAATAGCCCAGAAATATACTCAATCAGCTTTTAGTAAACGAACTACATCATTATAGTAAGATAAAAATGAATAATTTAACGGAAAGAATGGCAAGGTTAAGCAAAAACAAGTCAATATAATATCAGAACAAATACGGCCTTACGAAAAACCAATTTAAAATTTTGTGGCAAGCCAAAATATCATCAGCCAAATGTGGTCATTTGATAAATATTTTGTGGTCAGCCAAATTTTTAAAAAAATTTGTGAATACAAAAAAGATATACACTGCTTGTTCATCGAGTTCAGGTATGTTTGATGATCTGAACAGGCCAAGACCCATAATATTCTCCAAAAAGTTGGTATAGTAAAAAAAATAGTAGTAGATCTAATTAAATCTACTATAGTAACTTAGTAACACCAAGAAAAAGTAGTGATATGAAACAATATATCAGACGTGTTTGTCATAATGTCACAAGTTTTTAACCAGGTCCTATTGACGTTATTGAAGAAGTTGATCCCTGGGCTCCTTATTATTAAGAAGCGTATGAATATGCATATAAGTTGCCGCCAAAAGATCAAATTAATAATATCCAAAAGAATTAATGATTTAGAAGAAAACTTCAGAAAATTAAAGGAAATCAAGAAAGGAATAGGGTAATACATTTGTATTTTTAAAGAAATGCACGAGTTTTAAAAAAATGTTGGAGACGGCTTGCTCGCGCGAATTTGAAAAAATAAGAATGAAATATTGCGTTTGATAAAAGAAGTAAAAAATTTAAATACTCGAGCATTAAAAAGGAGCAGTAAAAAATTTAAATACTTGGACATAGTTTTGAACAGCAATCATTAGAACAACAGAAGAAGGTTTACCAACGATTTTTCTTAAATAAGAAATTTAGTTTATACAATTATTTATAATTTTTACAAAACTAATATTACCGACTAAACAAATTTATGCATATTTTAAAAATAACTTACTTTGACTTCGACCTCCAGAGATTTTTTGATTGTTTCAATTTTCACTATGCGTTCCTGTTCTTCTTGTAACGATTCGATAGTGTGCTTAAGTTCAACCTATTTGTAAGAAAAATAAAATTAATGTTACTCAACAAAAATAATAACTAAATATCCAACTTGAATTTTTTGGTATCTCTCATCACTTATACGTAATTCTTTTGTGATTTCTTCATAGTCAGCGGCTACAACTGCTAATTCTTGTTCAATTTTGGTTTTGGACGATGCCAAATTAACATTAACGACAGTCAATTCATTTATACGTGTTTGACATTCTTCAACTTGAATTTCAACTTGTCGTTTAGCTCTAGTTGTATTATCTAAATTTAAACGGACTTCTTCTAGTTCACCATTAAGTGATTGAAGACGACGCTGTGCGACACTGTACTGATCTAAAGTTTGTTGTAATTGACGTTGAAGTTCATCATAATGAGCTTGAAGTTCAGTAAGTTGTAATGATTGTTTTTTAATCACCTTTTGTAAATCAATATTTGTCTTGTTAGCAACATCTAAAGACATTTCTAATTCAGTAATTTGAATTTGCAACTTCTTCTTGATGCGAGCAACTTCAGTTTTCAATTTTGTTTCAGCTTCAACTACTCGCGCATTCAATTGTTCGATTTCAATAGCAGTTTGTTTGCTTTGGAATTTTAAAATAAAAAATTTATGAATTTCAATATACTTTGTGTTTAAAGGCCTTTTATAAGAAATTTGCTAGAAAGTTTTTGATAAGAGTTTATATTAAAAGTAATGTATAACTACTGTAAATGAATAAATGAAAATATAAAAAATATAAAAAATAGGACAAATAATTTTAAATTTTGGAATATAGATTTTAAAAACGCGTAATGATCGCTAAACAATATTCATGACAATTTCAGACTTCAAAAATTTTTGGTCTATGAGACATTTTGAAATAATTATTTGAAAACTTCTTATTTACAAGGTTAATAAAAATTTCATTGCATACATACTTTAAATTAAGAAGTTTATTGTGGCAACATGGAGATGTATTTCGATAAAAAAACTATTGTTACCCCTAACCGGAACTGTTATTTGCAAAATTTGTCGATTGAAAATGTGTTACAAATTGAATTGATTGAAAATAAATTACAAATGGAATATGTAATTATTTAGCTATTTACTCTGATGTAGTAAATTAGATTTTTCGATAAGAAACTTATTTTAATAATTTCTTCCACTAACTACATATAACTTTTAAATAAATTCTTTCTTATAACTATACATATTTTAATATATACATTCTTTAATATGTACATACTTTTGTAATTATGCATTGTAACAAAATTTATTTAAGTTAATTTGTAAGTATTTCTAGATTCTTAAGTTAATTTAAATTATCGCTTTTCAAGTTTATTTAAGCTTAAGTTTTTTTGTAAGATCTTATGTATTAAACTTGATTTGTTAAAAATAGATCACAAATTTTCAAGAAAATTTTAATTGTACATAGTATGTACATAAATATGCTGGTTGAAATTTTTTATATGCAATTAACTTTAATATTTGCTATTATTACCCGAATCGAAACTATATTATGAGTTAATTTTAATATTTGCCGCAATAATATATCACGTAAATGAATCTCATTACAGTTTTCAGCTATATATGAGACAGGGTTATAATAATTTTTGTTTTGTTTATGAAAAAAGGTTTAACATTTTAGTTAAAGAGCAAAAATTCTCCACAAAAAAACCCACCTGGAATCTGAATAAAATTCAATTGTTTTTGAGTTAAGATTAGTAAGCTGACGCTTCATGTTTAACAAAGATGAAGATACCTTATAATCTAAATTATCAATTAGTCTTTCATCTATTAATTCCATATGATGCGTATGAGCAGAAATTGAAGATCTATTTTCTAAAGTTTGGCTTACAGCACCAGTATTTTGCGCGACTTTTTCTTGCATTTGAAGTTCCTCTTTTTGAATACGAGACTGTTTTAGATTATTTTCACTTTCAGCTAAAAGAGCTTTAGCAATTTGTTTTGCCGATGCACCTCGTATAGCATTTTTAAATTCTGCAGACATTGGTGCCATTTCAGAGACTTCCATTGCTGAATATTTTTTTTTCTCTTATTTAACTTAACTGCTATACAATGAAAGCCACAAAATTAACATTTTTTAGACAGATTTTAAGATTTTGAAAATAGATAAATGTTCTTACTCCTTATTTGCAGTTTCTAACGTTCACGTTCAGCTTTTATTGAAAGACTAAACTTTGAAGAATATTCCACTTTTAAAAATAATTATGTAAAAAGAACAATTAAAATAAAAAGAATTTTTTTTTAATTCTTTTATATTTTTATATACCAAAGAAGTGCATCTGTTTAGGAAAGTAATAATATTTGTGTTCGTGTAACTTTATACATATACATATGTATATATCAATTGAAAAATGTTAATATCAGTGACAAAAATAAAAATGATTTGAAAAAAAATTTGCATGACTACACAAAAAAGGGCTTTCTAAAATATTTTGCATTATTATTTTAGTTATAATACATGCCAAAAAAAAAATCAAAAACTAAAAGAACATGCTCACTGATTTCTATTTCAATTTTTGTAAATGTGTAAATATAAAAATAACTCGTAAAAAAAGAAGGGGATTGAACAGAAGAAAACAAAATTTTTCTTTTTGCTTGCTCTCTAATTTTTTCGTTTTTAAAATTGCTGACATTCTGTCATTCAGGTATTTGTTTTAATTTTATTGTTAATTTAAAAAAGAAGTTCAACTTCGCAAGTAGCGCTGAAAATTAAAACAAGTAAAAACGTTTCAGTCGGTATGAACCGATTGAATTATACCCTGCACCTTTCATTGTTGTATAACAATTACTCAAACCTGTGAAACCATTCTATAGAAACTTTACGGATATGTCTGACGTATAATTGAACACACAACTACTAAGTTTCATGAATCTGACTTTATTATTTTTCCAAATATTTAAAATTAGCTTTTGGAGTTGTATGGCAGGTACCCGAACCTGCCAAGCAATTCCACTAAAACTTCGCTAATATATCTGATCTATAATTGGACACACAACTGCCAAGTTTCATGAATCTAACTTTATTACTTTTCCAAATATTTAAAATAAGCTTTTGGACTTGTATGGGAGCCACTCGAACCTGTCAAGCAATTCCACCAAAACTTCAGAAATATCTTTGACCTATAATTGGACACACAACTGCCAAGTTTCATGAATCTGTCTTTATTATTTTTCCAAATATTTAAAATTAGCTTTTGGAGTTGTATGGCAGGTACCCGAACCTGTCAATCAATTCCACTAAAACTTCGCAAATATATCTAATTTATAATTGGACACACAACTGCCAAGTTTCATGAATTTGACTTTATTATTTTTCCAAATATTTAAAATTAGCTTTTGGAGTTGTATGGCAGGTACCCGAACTTGTCAAGCAATTCCACTAAAACTTCGCAGGTATATCTGATCTATAATTGGACCCACAACTGCCAAGTTTCATGAATCTAACTTTTTTATTTTTTCAAATATTTAAAGTAAGCTTTTGGGCTTGTATGGGAGCTACTCGAACCTGTCAAGCAATTCCACCAAAACTTCAGAAATATCTTTGACCTATAATTGGACACACAACTGCCAAGTTTCATGAATCTGACTTTATTATTTTCCCAAATATTTAAAATAAGATTTTGGACTTGTATGGGAGCCACTCGAACCTGTCAAGCAATTCCACCAAAACTTCAGAAATATCTTTGACCTATAATTGGACACACGACTGCCAAGTTTCATGAATCTGACTTTATTATTTTGCCGAATATAAAAAATTTGCTTTTGGAGTTGTATGGCAGCCACCCGAACCGGTGCAGCTATCCCATTATAATTTTTAGAGCATATGTAGAATATAATTGGACACATGTATACAAAATTTTATATTTATAGCTTTATTAGTTTTTGAAATATTTAAAATAAACTCTTGGAGTTGTATGGCAGCTACCCGAACCCGTTGTCCGAATTAGTCCAATAACAATAGGGTTCGTCCTTGGCACAAAAGAAAAAACTTGTGAAAGTTTGGTGTCGATTGCATTATTCGTTTTTGAGTTATCGTGCGATCGGACGGACGGACGGACGGACGGACATGTCTAAACCGACGCAGAATTTTACGCTGAGCAAGAATATATATATATGTCCATACCGCAGATGACTCCTTCAAGTAGTTACAAACTCCATACCAAAGTTAATATACCCTTCACGAAGTGCAGGGTATAAAAAAGGAAGGGGGTGAGCGACAACGGCGGACGATTTCCTTTGTTAGCCCAAGACATGGGCGGTACGGCAAAATCAAGTGTTCAAAATTAAAACACATGGAAACAGATGATGCCAAAAATATCGCTGGCGATAAAATGGAATTTTAAGATATTTTACCGTTGACGGTATAATCCGCGGTGATAGTCTCTCTTCATACTAGGAAAATCTATTTATATACACTATATGTATTTTATAGGAATTTTGCTATCGCCTTCTTTTATATATCTTTTTAATATAATGTATATGAGAATGTAAAAGTTGAAAGGAAATATAATTTTCAACATCTTTAAATATAATTTTTATCAGTTTTATAAATGCAACTTCATTATTTTGTCGAATATTTTAAATTTTCTTTTGGAACTGTGTGACAGCTACCAAAATCTGTCAAGCCATTCAGGGATATATCGGATAAGTAATTGGACACACGACTGGCTAATTTCATGAATCTAACTTTATTATTTTTTGGAATATTTAAAGTTAACTTTTGGAAAAAATTCCATTACAATTTAAAAAGTAAACTAATTGTGCATACTCGTAAAATGAGTGAACTTACAGTTGAAAAATTTGGAAACTAAAAGATAATCTAAAAAGTACTTAAAATATATATTCATACAAACAGATAATTATAAGAGGAAAAGAAAAAAAATCCAAAAAAAGAAATAAAAACAAAAGAAATTTATATATACATATAATATAAAAAATAAATATATACAAGTACATAATCAAACATCCAAATACATAAATATATTCTCAAATAAATTTTTAAATTAGTCTTCATAGTACGTATGTAGTGTCCACTCAAAAGTCAGATGAAAATAGTGTAGGAGAATTCTATTCGCCCGAAAACCAGTGACGAACGCACCCTCAAAACTATAGAACATAATTAAAACAAAGCATAAGTATGCATGAGCAAACCAGTAACTATGATTAACCCATTGGAAAAATTTGATTATAAAAAACTAGAAAAAGAACAACTAAAATATAACAAGTAAAAACGTTTCAGTCGGTATAAACCGATTGAATTATACCCTGCACCTTTCGTTATTGTGTAGCAATTACTTGAACCTCTAAAATCATTCTATAGAAACTTCACGGACATGTCTGACCCATAATTGGACATCCGACTGCCAAGTTTCATGAATCTGACCTTATAATTTTTCCAAATATTTAAAATTAGCTTTTGGAGTTGTATGGTAAGTACCTGAACCTGCCAAGCAATTCTACCAAAACTTCACAAATATATCAGATCTATAATCGGACACACAACTGCCAAGTTTCATGAATCTGACTTTATTATTTTTTCAAATATTAAGAATAAGCTTTTAAACTTGTATGGGATCT